GATTTTCAGTACAAATCGGCAATTTCATACTTTAACCCCTATTATTTTTTTGAGATATCATAAAAAGCCATAGCCCAGTTTTAGAATATTGAAATTATTTAGTATTATAATTAATAATTAAATAAATAAATTATGCATCGTTAGGGTCGGTTCCGATAAGTCGCACACGTTAACAAATTTTACCTGTTTTTAAAAGAGAATTTTGTGCTCATTTTTTCTATTTGAAAAGGATATTTGACCATTTGTCACTTAGCCGCGTTTTGGTTAGTTGACGGCAGTAAAGTGGTCACGGCTAACTGAGATGGTAAAGTACTTACTAATACAAACCACTCCATTTTTCACTATAGTTAACAAAAATTAAATGTATTAATCAAATCTTATTTTTAATTTAAAAAAAGAACATTCCAATTAAAGCTACCTAGGCACGTCTTAGAAAACATTTTGTATTATTTGAACAATATGAATTTTTATTAAATATAATTTAGTATTAATTAATAATGGAATCAGAATAAATTGGAACATTAATTGGTACTGCAATATTGTTTCTGTTTAGGATGTATCATCAGATGAAATACTAGACTAGATTCAAAATTGATGGTACGAAGAAACCATCTTCCCTGTGAAATTAGGATTTTTTTTAATATCAATGGGCTCAAGCAGTATCCTGGGTAGTACGAATATCTTGTTCTTTTGTACTTTATTTTTAATTGGCAAATAACTGTGATACGAATAGAATCTGCAAAATTTTTTTACTTCCACGCATTTATAATATTATCTATGGTGGTGTTTCATGTCATCGTTAAGTCCTATTAAATATCAATTTACTATTTACCGTAATATTTTCTTTTTTGTTACAAGAAACAAAAGTAAATTTTGGAAAACTAAGTGATCTCGAATTCGTCGTCGTTCAGCTATTGACCGCTAAATCAATCAAGCTAGCTAAATCTGCCAAGTACATTGATTGAAATTACAATATAACGCACCCCTCATGGAAGAATAGCATACGTGGCGTTACGTCGAATACGTTTATTGCTCCATTAGATACAGTAAAATATAACCCACATCCTCTCCAATTCTTGTAAATCTATTTACAATTGTAATCGATAGAGTTGCAAGAATTGGAGAGGATGTCGGTTAAATTTATATTTATATGTGGCCTGTATCTAATGGAGCAATAAATATGTTTGATGTAACTCCACTTATGCCATTCTTCGATGATAGGTTCGATAAGTTCCAAACGCGTCATAACTTGCAATAATAGATATTGAACTTTTAACGGGGTAAGATTTAGATTATGTTAATAGTCCAAAATAAATGTTATATCTTTAAATTAGAAAATACGACCAATCATTATCAAAATTTCATAGTGTTTCAAATTATGAATGTGTGAGTTTTGGCGACAGCGGTTCTGAAGGTGGATATCCACCGGTGAGGCGAGACGAAACGAGAATTGAAATCTCGCCGGCCTATTTCCACCAAAAGTTGCCATTAATAGCTCGCACGAGCTCACGCTGTGAATGTCATCAAGCCATTTTTTTAAATGTAAGAACAGATCCATTACTTTCAAAATTTATTGTAAGAGAAAAGAAACATATTTTTTTTTTAATCTCAAATCTCCACAATCTCGCGATTGACATTAATAGCCATTATCTCGCCTCGTCTCGTCTCGCCTCGCCGGTGGAAAAGCCACTTGATAGTAATCGAGGCATAAGGTACTATTAAGTAAGGTAAGGTCAATTTTATTTTTCTTCCTTGTTATGTAACCGTACGTACCGTGGCTTTTTTAATGTAGTGATATCAAACCAACAGTCTTACTACTTTCATATTACTTTATGGTTAATGAAATTGAACATCTTTTAGCTGTAAGTCGATTTTGGCAGACATGTCCACAGAAGGAGTAAAACATAAATGCTAATTTAGTAAGCTGAAAATAATACGTGAGGCGCACTATAAGTTTCCGGAATGAATAAGAAAAAAATAGTATAAATGGTGAGAAATGAATTTATTGTTTCTCATAATATTCTTCGTTACCGTTAATGCACTTATTCATACGAATGAACCAATTTTGAAAACATTTATGCCACTCCTCCGCGACAATCTTTGAAACATATTTTTCAAACTCTTCGACAACCTCTTCAGGTGACAAAACCGTTGACCGCGTAACTGGTTCTTAATTTTTGGAAATAAATAAAAGTCCTAAGGTGCCAGGTCGGGACTGTACGCGGGATGGCTCATAAAGTCAACGTTATTCAACCTTCATTTGTCTGTCTGGCCGTGTGAGAACTGGCATTATCACGGTGCAAGATGATATGGCGTATACGGTTATTTTTACGTAGTTTGTCAATAACTTCCGGCAAACAAAAGGTCATGTACCAATCACTATTCACGGTACAACGATTTTCCAAAACAACAGTAGCCACGTGTCCAGTTTTATTAAAAAAAAGAAGCAATCATCCGCTTAGAGGCACTTTGTACGCGCGCCACTTTGGTTGATTTCGACTCATTTCGCAATACTCATACGTTCGATTGCTACTTTGTTTTGGGATTGCAACTATAAATCCATGTTTCGTCACCTGTTACTATGTATCACACAAATTTGACGCCACTTCGTTGAATCTGGTAAGCATGGCATTGCATCAAGTGACGCGATCCGTTTTTTGAGCCTCTGTCAAATTGTGTGGGGTCCACAGAGAACACAGTTTCTTCACACCCAAATATTCGTGTAATATTAATTGTATTTAACTCATGCCTATGCCTAAAGATGCCCGAATATCATGGTATGTCACACGCCTGTCTGTTTTGATCATACGGCGCACAGCATCGATGTTTTTGTTGTCTGTTGTAGGGCCCTGATCGGGTGGGGAGTATATGGATACAGTTTTCACCAGACAATAGTCGGAAGAACCTAGTGGGGCCTCCACAACCGCAGACTATCGGTCCGGATCAGTTGTCAGCAGAAAGCCCAAGCAATTAGCCGTATGAGACTCAACATCTGGTATCCTAGTGGCGCCACTGACAAGCTGGGATAGGCTTAGCGTTAACGCAAGTTTACGTGTCTCTCTCCCAGCGTGATCGGTCTTCTGGTATGAGAACAACCCATTCTTGATGGTGTGCATTAAAGTTCCACAGAATGATTAGTTGCGCCACTGGGTACCTATGCAGGGCAGACTCCGGCACGAGGTAGATACCTGTACTCCAGAGTATACCCTAGAAATGTCCACCTGGTCCTCCCCTTCGGTCACCAAACGGCAAGGTGGACCATTCCGGGATTCTTCGTTGGGCGGCGGGGCAGCCTTTGTGCCAACGGGTGGCTTTCCCGCTAGTTGGCCCCCCAACTTCCCACGGGCGGCCAGCGGTGCACCGTGCTTCTGATCCCGCTAGCCTCCAGAACCGAGTGCCCAGTGTGGCAGCACAAGCAGCTACAACTCGTCGTCAGACGCAATGCAACTGTTCAGACCCGACCTCCTAATGGCAACTCCCGAACACGAGTCGGAACACGGTGACAATCATTTGGTGACTCGACTGCCACCAGTAGTTGTTGCACTTTAGCACCAACCAGGGGTCACTAGTAGGGTCTCGAGGGTAAACCTATAGAAGCGAGCAACATCAACCCCCAATACCTATAGGTCAATGTTCGATCCAAATGTCGTATGCGTATTCTGGTATATGAATCGAACTTAAATCGATTCTAAACGACAAGTCGCACGTATTCTGATAAAATTTTGACAGTTCTTTCGACAGACTTTCCGGGGTGGAAAAAAAAATTAATTGAACGCGCATAACTTAACAAAAATTTAACGCTACAAATGGCGGATTTCTACTGATGATGTACGCTTACAAGAACAACACTATCACAAAACAATCATTAACAACAATCATCAAAATATACAAACAAGAAGAAACTATTTAAATAAATTTAATTATATGAGATATTTGGGCTATGACAGAAAAATAACCATGCCTGTGCAATGGTTACATTCGGTTGATTTTCGCTTTTGCTAATGCCACATCCCTTAATGCTGCAGCGAAGCATCTTTATTAATACCTAATTGTTCTCACCTAATTTTTGTTCATTTTATTACTATTCATGCAAATAATTCAATAAAACACTACGCTTAAAACTTTTATTATTATTATTATTATTATTACCTCATGTACAGTTGGCATTTAAGAGGACGTTACATATTTTCGATTCCCGTGCTTGGCACAGACCAATGTGAGGCTATCTTTTTTGGCTTACGACGGCACGCAGTAGTTAAACAAAGACAATAACACGTTTTTTTAATGTCAAAATACAAACTACGATAGTATTTTGTTTGGAACTGTTTGGAACATGTAGTTTCTGTGAATGTTCTTGTCTAAAAACCTTGTGCCCGCCACTGTGTGTGGGTATGATACAGTTGGTATCACTGTGCCATCTGTGGTTGGTCCCAATAATATCGGGTTCAGGAAATTTCTTTTTGTTCTTAGTGTCGGACAAGCAATTGCGATTAAGGTACCATCAGATAGTTTATCCGTCTTTATTCCAACTGTAATGTGCTTTTCCTCTACGTTTGCTCGCCGACAATCTTAACCGAAACATTTGACAAAGCAGTCTAAACTACAATCAAAAGGTGGTCTAACGGTTGCTCCGCCATTATCATGGAAGTTAAAAAAAAAGGAATTCTTATTCGCTGCTTTGGGGATGTCCATGCACAAATTGCAGTCGGATGTACGTGTTGTGAACAAAAGAATACTAATTAGTTCTTTATAGCTGTGTTGCGAGGGCAAAGAACAATATAATTTAGTAGGCACTCAAAAAACAAACTCGCCACTTTTTGTTAGATGTATTTAATTTGCATAGTAAGCTAATGCATATAGATGGCAGGAGAGGAGAATGCAATAGCCAAATTCAATTAAGTTACTTTCAACTTTGAATGCTTCCATATGAAACTTTACCTACATCCTGAACTCGTCGCTTTATTTGAGGTGACACTAATGTCTGTCGCATAGGTTTTTACGAGGTGGCACCTGTTTTTACGCTCATTGCATTACTTTTTTCAGAGCTAATACTTTTGACTGAAGTAAGACTTTTAATAGTAACAACTGGTTTTTCTGACAACATGCTTCTATTACGGCTTTTGGTGCTTTTTATTGAGCCTTTAGTTTTGGTGGATGCCATCGAACCCTTCCTTTCACGAGCGCTTTTATTATCGGTTGTAGTTTCTTCAGCAGTAAGGGTCTCATCGACAAGATCTTCCAAAGATAATACCGGTGTTACAGTTACATTATAGTTACTAAATCCTTGGTCTTGCGGAAGATAAATACCAAAACGATCCTGCGTAAAAAAAGAATTTTAGTAAAGTCTCATTTTGGCTTAGCATGAAGAACACCTATATTAAAGTTTTATATTGCAATCTTAAATCCTTCATAGTAGCATATTTGTTTTTTTTTGTATGTTTTCCAATCAGCGATTATGTATTATGCGATAACCAGTAGTGGGTGTTAACGGGCTGAGATAATGATGATGATGATGATGATGATGATGATGGTTCGTAGACTTAGATAGTAATTACTGTCACTTTGTGTCCAAAAGGACACATTGGCACTAAATTTCAATGAATCTAAGAATTGTACCATTTATTTTAGGAGCATCTCATGTCTCGCGTTTGCTTAGCGTTATGCTGTAATGGTCAATTTATTGAGTTTTTTGTCCTTAAAAGGCAGCAAAGCAGAAGAGCTAGACCCTGTTGTAATGTTTGGGGATATTGAAAATGTTAATTAGATAGTACCTAGTCAATTAGTGCCTCATTTGCCTGTCACTATAAATCAGCATAATTTATTCTTTATAACAATATATTTTTATGGCAGGTGTTTTATAACAGTAAAAAGCAGAAAAGACCGACCTTAGTATACCGGTTGTAGTGGAATTGTGGATGGCATTTGCAAGGTCTTGGAGGTGGCTTTTTATAACTTTCGTGTGATGAGATCACACTCCTCGGTGTTGGTGGCGTCTCGTAACCTAACATGTTATAAATTTACAAAAATCATGACAATAAAAACATGTTCAGTTTTTCAAGTATTAGTTCAGAGCGAACCCTCTCATTATATGACAAGTATACACAAATCGAAAGTTATCCACTTATTTTTATGCTTGAAGTTCACACGAAACTTAAATTTTGACGTATACATTTAAAGTCTGTACCTTTAAAGTTTTCCTGTCTACGTAGTGACTTTTTCATCTTCTTGCGCATACGTTTTTCCCATGCAATTTCAGCAGCTACAAATAAAAAAATTTAAGCATATTTTGTACAAACCAAGTGATACGTTTACAGTTTCCTTTGTAAAAGAGTACTAAGATATACATTATACTCCCTGTTTGATACATTACATACATAAACTTTAAAGTGACTTGTTACTTTTTTGTTGTTATTTAATAATCCATAAACACATACCACAAAAAATAAATTGACAAAAGTGACGTGTTGTGCGACAAGCGACAATTTCTTTTTCTTTGCAAAGGAGTTCATTATACTTTATACTTTTTTCTACTTAAGCCACACAAAAACAAATTTATAACGATATGTAGAAAATAAACACAAGAATTATTTTCATTTACCGATTCTTTCTTTGTCTAGAATAATTTCTTCAAAGTTTCCATAAGCCAAGAAGCAAAGATCGCCTATATCCTCGCGAATTTCAATAACGGGGATTTCCATTGCTGCTTCTACAGCCTTTGTCAGTTCCACGTAAGCTGTATCGTATAGTATGGCTTCATTGTCCACTTTCAAGAAGATTGCTTTGTCTACTGTATTTGATATCCAAGTAAACACTGTCTCGGAGAAGGTAAGTGGCGGCGTTGGAACAGGCTCTAAAACAAACAAATTGTGTATAACAAGAGTTAGAGTAAACAACACACGTATCGAATTGGGTATGTTCTTATCGAAGTGGCAACCTTACTTCAAAGCGTTGTCAAAGTCTTGCTTAGACTCTTTGAACTGATTATGAGGAAAAAAGCAACACTAGCACTTTAGGTACTTTTATTATTACCTCCCAATATCTTGATTATAAAGCGTTCACTAAACTTTGCAATACTGATTAATATCCTCACAAAAGTCGAGTGCCAAATTATAGTCAGAAGCGAATTTGCTTGCGTTTCCGAACATGATTTCAGATTTTTTTAATGTTCATTTGTCTTAGTTTTGAGGCGTAACATGAAACTCTCAAAGTTAATTTATACAAATCAAACATTAAGTTCAGAACAGATTAAAATATACATTGATTTAATTTATTTTATATCTCACAGAAAAGGGATTAATCCTTTTATAAAGGTATTTTTACTCATAGTCGCACTACTGTCGCACTACGATTTACCATACTACCAGTGGTATGCTTAGTGGTACAATGGATCCCACGGGTTCGCGCCAAATAGCGCTTTGGGTGGCATACGAACACCTGCTTAAATGAAATGGTTTAGCCACTTATCGCCGTGGTTTCATGCCGTAATTATAAATATGTTTTAATTTGTTTGTTTTTGTTTTTGGTTAATTTGTTTGTTGATGCTAAATTTATAATCCACAAATATCATGTTTAATTTTTTGTTTTTGTTTATGTTTAATTTGTTTCTTGATACTAAATTTATAATCCATAAATGTCAACATTGACTTACAAATAAATGGACGATGGGTCTAATACAAAAACCACAAAAAAAATGTCCCAAGTCAACCTATTTAAACGTAGTGACATGTAAAGGAATATGAAAAAGCTAAAACGTTGAATTTAAATTGTAATGTCATCGCAGTACTGTCTAATTTTGCTTGCTTCGCTGTCACTGTCAGTAGAACAAACGAAGACTAAAGCGTGAATGACGCTCTGTATACGATTTTAACCTATCATTCGCCTTAGGACAGATTCGCTTTACGACAGATTAGCTTTATGACAGATTCGCTTTATGACAGATTCGCTTTACGGCAGAAATTGTACAGTTAAGTACACTAAAATAGTACCTAAGTAAAAAAAAGGTATAGGTTCAAACACGAGAGGTATAGACGTTCTTTTAAATCATTAAACGCAATTCACTTTAGTTCACTTTCATAACTAAGTTTTCTTAACTGGTTAAGAAAAACCCTTTTTTATTATTGTTTTCACAACTGGTTTTTAAACAAGAATACGAAGTGTTCATTCATAACTGACAATCACAAATAGTTAAGAAACGAATAATTATGATTATGTTTTTATAACTAGCTACAGTCAGCATTAATATTTTCTTTTCCTTTAACCTTATACGAAGTAATCCACATTCATAACTTTTTTTCATAACCAGCTACGAGAAACAACACCTTTTAGAAAACAAATGTATTTCACATAGGTCAAATTGCTTTCATCCACTAGGTTAGGTTAGGTTAGTATATGAAAAAGCCGCACGAGCCGAGCGAGCGAAGCGAGCGTGCCGCGGCAGCGGCCGGCGAGTGCCAGAAGCGAATTTGTTTGCGTTTACGAACATGGTTTCAGGTCAAATTATGAAAAAAAAGTTATGAATGTGGATTAAATATTCTTTTTTCGTAACAACTATTTGTGATTGTCAGTTATGAATGAACACTTCGTATTCTTGTTTAAAAACCAGTTGTGAAAACAATAATAAAAAAGGGTTTTTCTTAACCAGTTAAGAAAACTTAGTTATGAAAGTGAACTAAAGTGAATTGCGTTTAATGATTTAAAAGAACGTCTATACCTCTCGTGTTTGAACCTATACCTTTTTTTTACTTAGGTACTATTTTAGTGTACTTAACTGTACAATTTCTGCCGTAAAGCGAATCTGTCATAAAGCGAATCTGTCATAAAGCTAATCTGTCGTAAAGCGAATCTGTCCTAAGGCGAATAAGGGATTTTAACGTCCTATAAGTTCGGACACTTTTTAGCGCGGACCCGACGTCCATATAATTGTAAGTCAATGAATGTCAAACATAATTATGTTTGTTGGGAATAAAATTGCGCCACCGAAATGATGGAAAGAGTGCTGCTTTCCAAAACATCCCTAGTGCAACGATACACAATCATTACTACAACTCACAAATTACTTTGTCGATCTTTATTATAAATTACAACTATTAGAAATTTTTCAACTACAAAAGCCCAGCGATAATTGTTTTTTAACCTTAGAAAAAAAGTTTCATCTTGCATGCTTAACGTTGCTTGAATATACCTACTAAGTTTACCTTATATACCTAGTAATTTTTATTAGTTGTAAGAATGCCCAAGTTTTATTGTTACAACTAAAAAAAATTGCGTTGTGTATACCTAATATCATCATTTATATCATTTAATATCAACTTAATCAAACCTGGTGTAGGAATTGTAGTGGCTGAAGTTTGAATGGAGAGGAAGGACGAGGATTCCGTGTTCGATGGCGAACTCTTCAAGGCAAGCGGCTGCCAGGACTCCGGCGGAAAGTGTTTCGCCGTGATCATCTTTAGATCCCTGACCAGGTTCATGTCATCGTAATAGAGAGGCTCAGTTCTGCCCTACAATGATAATTACTGTTTAGTTTTTGGTGCGTGTAGTTAGTTACATGCAATACCAACGACGTAACTTCAAAATAGAAATTGGAGCGCAGTAGGAAAGCGATTTGCTGTACTAGGAGTTGGCAGATCTCATGCGAAAAATTTAGAGGTACAATTTTTACACTTTATTAGAATTTACACTTAGATATATTTCAAGAAAGAACTATTAATAAATGCATAAAATACAATATCTGCGAAACTTAAGTAAACTTAAATATTGTGGTAAGTGCTGACTTAAAATTTCAAGTGTCTGGTTATAGAGCCTTTGAAACTTGAATTTTATCTCAAACTCTCAAACTCCTTTAGGATTATGGTAAATATTAATTCCATATGTATTAACTATGATTTTTATTTATTCTTTAGTATGATGTTTTACATCAGACATGAATACATGTTTTTCTTAGAGCTGTGAAAAAAGGACACAATAGTATAATTAACGATATTTTCAATTAGTAGATACCTCGAGTGCAGCGGTACATCAAATTGATGAGAATATTTATTATTTTACGCGTATGTTTTTACATTTTGAGCAGAAATGTTCAAAATATTTGTTTTATAATTATTAATACAAAGATCGAACACTCAGAAAAAATTCCTTCGATCCGGCCGGATTCGAACCGACGTCTTCTAGCTTACCGTGACAGACGCTATACCAACTAAGCATGCCACGGTAAGCTTGAAGATGGTCGGTTCGAATCCGGCCGGATCGAAGGAATTTTTTCTGAGTATTCGATCTTTGTGTTAATAATTATAACAAACTAGTGAAATAATTTCACAAAAAACTGTTGATTATCATTTCAATAAAAATTTAAAATATATGTTTTGTACAAATATTTTGCGATTTCAAAAATAACAAAATGAATCATTCTTTGTCCACTAGTTACTGTTAGGGATGCCGCAGACGTCTGCATTTGCATCTTTTTAAACATCTGCATGCGCATCCGTCATCCACATCAATCGATGCAGAGTTTTTACGAAAGCGGATGTTATCGTCGGGAACGGGCCTTATGCCAAGCTCTTGCCAAGTACTGTACTAATTAGCAAATCAGGAATTAAGAGTTCGGCAGCGCGAGGTGAAGGCAGCAACCTGTTTGTTTTTAAATAATTCTTTAGTTGACTTACGCGTATGGTATTTAGGAACACTGTTTGAATTCAAATTGATTTTCGTCACATGTTGTTGATTTTCGTAAGTAAGTTTAAGTGTAAACGATGCAAAGTGTAATTAAGAACTCTTTCAGTCAAGATAGCCCAATTATGATACTTTTACAAATCAATAAGTCTCGCATAATTATTATTTGTAAAGGGCAATTTGCCCATCAAACTTTAAATATTAATATATGTACTTAATATTCCATCCACATTTTTTCTAACAGAATTAAGTACTTAATAGTATTATATCTTTTTAAATTAATGATGACCAGGCTTGATCGACTTGAATAAATATCCTGAAAAAAGAATCATTTTTTCACAGATCCGCATCTGCATCCGTATTTGCAGATTTGAAGGTGAAAGCGTCACATCTGCGTTTGCATCTGCAAATGTCGTTATAACTCATAACCCACATCCTCGGCATTCCTAGTTACTACAATACGCTATTGTTAAAATGTTTGCGTATTGCGTCAGACTCGTCATAGGTGTCCGAAGTGTCATTTTATTTCTAGGTGTTCAACCGATTTTCGCATTTTCTCTGATTCGAAGCGGGTCCGAGTTTTCTGGATTTGTATAGTCTCGGATTCTAATCAACGAATAAGAATCGGATGCAGTGCACAAACGCGCCTGTACTATATATATACACACACTTGGTTTATTAATGGCATACATTTCAGTATTTATACCGTTATTTTATTTTATAACTCACGTGATTATTATAAGGCTTCAAAAGATAGTTTCAAAGCAAAATAACTGTTAAGGACACGTGTGTTGTTGAAGGATAAATAACGCTAGAGATAGCAAGACACGCGTTAGTAAAAAAATAAGTCAATTTTAGGTTCGAATTTTGTAATAACGAGATTGTACTGATACAAACATAAACGGTAAAAAAAAAAAACAGGGAATAATACGTGGCATATAAGCGTGTAAAATTGTTTGTTAATTATTTATTATTTCTATAGAGATCTGTAAACGCAAAGATAGCAGTCTGGTTTGTTTTATATGAAGACACCTAGCACAATCAACACGCACACACGCCTAGCGACATACTCATATATTTATGAGCACATACGCTGCGACAGATTGAAGCCACACCTGGCGTATCGTATGCACTCAATTTGAAACAAGAAATATCACTTTTTAATAATTCGACGATTAATTCAGATGGTTTAGAAGTGGAGAGCATTCCGCTAAGGTAACAAATATTATGTGTATATTTTAGCAGTTATAGTTACATAGTATTCTACCTGGGTATAAGCTCCTGTAGGACCTATTTTAAGGTGACGTCTAATGTCACCATCCAGCTTTGAAGCGTCTTGAACAAAATAATCAGCTGCTTCTTTAATAAAATTGCATTTTCTTTTATTTTGCAAAGACATTTTACAAATAAACATTTCCATCATTGATATTAACTGTAAGAGATTGATTTAACTTTTATTAAAAGCGGTTATTTGCTACCACGTACGACTAAATGGAAAGCTTAAAATAATAGCTGTATGCTTACAATGCATATTAAATGGGTCAGTTGGAGACTACGACACGTTTTCCAAAGTTCTCCAAATGCCACGATCCTGTTTTCGTACTAAAGATTTTGCACATTTTTGTCGAAGTTTTCGATAAATATTACATGTGCTAACAGATATTTTAATGTTCACTTGTGGTAATGGTAAAATGTCTTATTTTTCAGATATTGTTGCATAATACAGGATGTCTCGCGGCTATGGGATACAGAAGGAAAGTACTTAAAATATTGTAGTTATTTTGTATTCATGGAAACATTGTTTTATTTTTAAAAGTAAGTAATACTGCATTCAAAGACTTTTAATAAGTTGTTTGCCTTATCAGGGAATACAACCCAGGAAATGTCAAAAAAAGATATTTTACACAATATTTTATGATGACGGGTCCGTCATAACGATTAATTCTTTATAAAGTGACTAGTATCTTAATAAAAAAGGTAAACCGTTCAATTATACAATTCATTCGAAAATAATGTATCAACTGTATTTACCAAATGTATCACACGTACAAAACGTGATCCATCTTCTTGTATGCAGATTCTCAATCTTTTGTTAAGTTCGCAGCCTGCCGATATTTGTATCTTGTTACCATGGATATTCGAAATAGCATTATTTCCTTTCCACTTCATATTGTCAAATTGAATCTTATATAAGAAATTTTTCACGTATCCCCAAATAAGTAATGTTGACAGTAAAGCATATTGTAATTAATTTTTTAAACTTTATATTACCTTTTCTTTGACCTATTCGATCGGCATCTTAAACAAGGATGTTCTTTTTCCAAATTTGGTCGGTTTCTTTCCAGATGAGGCAAGTAACTTTTTAAAAGTTCTTGAATGCAGTAATTACTAAAAAAAATGAGTATATGAAACAAAATGGGTACCTATTTTGTTTTGAACTTTATCGAAAATATTTAAAGCACTTTCCTTCAGTGTCTCATACCCGTGACAAGCCTGCATAGTTTTGTTTTTAATTTTTTTCTTCAAAATGTACTTGTTATTATAATTTTACCATAAATGAAACGCTACTATTGACAACAATGCAGAAGATTTTTTTAAACAAACGAGGTTTGTTAACTCTTCGTTTTGCTTTACTTTTATTTCACTCTATTTTACAGTATGATATGATATTAGGTACGTAATAATAATGGAAATACAATAAGCACAACAAAATTTCGAATATTAATTTTGTCCATAGAATGAATGAGTTGACATAGATCACACATACAGGAAAATGCTGCTCTAATCCTTAGACGCTTTGTAAAATGCATACGAGATACGGCATAAAAAGAAACGTACCTCTGGGTGTTGACTAACATAAGCCTCTTGTTCCAGCTGTATAGAGATGCTGAATCTTCTTGAGCATTCTCGTTGGCACTGTGTAATGGCATCATGGTCATGGTACAGCAACCCGTTAGCAGCCAACGGAACTGTAGGCACACTTTTCATAATCCTTCTGATTGGCATCTTGGAAATAATAACTTTACGTTTGAGTATTGTAAATTAATATGTTTTCTTTCTACATTTAGAAACAGTATGTCCACATAAATGGAATCAAAATATATTTATATTATTATGCAATAATAAACGTCTAACAATAGTCAAAACCAAAAATATTTTAGTGTTTAAAAAATAAACAAGTAGAGTGCCAGTAATATATTTACTATTTTTAATGCAAACTTGTTTTGAAAACCTAATTGGGAAAGTTTTAATGTTTATTACTTAAGTTCGAGTAATATACTCGGATATTTAAATATTAAAAATTGCCACCAAGACTAGGTACAGAAAACTAACCTAAAACTTACCCATTTAGATTTTCAAAACAAGTTTGCATTAAAAATAGTAAGTACAGTACTGGCATATTGCAAAATATAAAATAGTATATCATATTATTACACTCGAATGTTAAATTATATCTACTTCATGATAACATTTTAGAGTATTCAATAATAAATATTTCCACCGATATTAGGCGGGGAAATCTAATCTGGCAATTAGAAATGTGATTGACAGGTTTTTATACTTACTTCATGTTACCAATGATTAGTATACTTATATGGAAGATAAGTGGTGTATCAATTTAAGTATTTTGTTGCACATTCACCCTAATCCTAAAACTTTTATATTTCAAGAAAATACAAGTAGAAGTAAAGTGCAAAAGACGATATTAAAGTTCTAAAAGAGATATCGCAATACACGTTTGTTTCAAATAGAGGTAACTAGATTTCTTCCAGAAACGTTTGAACATATGGATGTGACACGGCTGTCGATGTATTTCACCGTTATAAATGGCTAACGCTGCGAAATGGCATTTTGTCAAAATTATATCAAATTATGAAATAAATCAACAAGATCAGCTTAGACGTTACTGGCCTGCAACTTTCCTTACAAATTGCTGACACACCTACGAGCAAGCAGCGAGACCGAGCAAGATAATGAAATTTTTTAACGTCGATACGTAATGCGCAAATTACTTTCCGCCGCCTATAAATTTACCACTAACGCGAGTCCGTGCATACGCGCGAGTAGGTACTGTATTAGTTGCTACCAGTTTTTACAATAATGCATAGTTGTTACGCATTGTGTTGTGAATTTTGTTTTGCATCGTGTTCCATAATAAATTTGGTCATTTATTTATCAAACACGGGTTCTAACATGATGAGTATACTTTCGATGCGTCCTAGATATTAGTCATATAAAGTAAGTGAATGCATAATATTGTCTATTTACATCATAGGATTTATACTCTAAAGATAATGTTCAAAGACCGAATTAAGCACAATCATTTTATTTTTCTATTCATTTTATTTCTTTTAGCTCGAAACGTTGGTTTGTTTGAAAAAAGCACGTGATTTTGATTAAAAAATAAGTGTGAAGCAAAAAAAAAGTGAAACTTTCGCGAAAATCTAAAACTCGATATGAAAAAAAAAACAATCCGCGACGCCGCCGCAGTCACGATTTGTCCACATCACCGCCAGAAAATTTGGTGGGTGTAAAATCGGCGTGGCGAAATTTTATTTTATTTCATTTTCGTCTATATTTCAAAACAATATTTTCTTTCGATCAAAATGTATTATGGTCCTGTTTTTGTACATCTCTAAATCGATTTTACTCAGACATTACGTTACTCCGACATTATTTTACTCGGACACTACGCTATTCCGACAACATGTTACATCGACATGATTTTACTCAGATATTACGCTACATCGACAACACAGACGAGGTGTTTATTTAAAAAAATCGTTTTTACTCTGAAAAGAAAAATCATTATTACAAACCCATCTAGGAAATGGTTTCTTATTATATATCGATCAATATAACAAAAAAAAAACTAAATCATATGATCGAAAAATTCTTTTATAATTATATAAAGTGTAACAAAAAACGATTAAATTAAAATATAAATTTTTACTACACTGTTTCATGTATGTATGTACTAAAACCTAATTACAGTAGGTAAACGGAAAAAACATAAATGATTATTTTCGAAGTCAATGGACAATGGGACAGAAGAAAGTTTGAAACTGCTTTTCGAAGCACAATTTTGGATTATGGATTGGACTTTTGAAATGGCATATATTATTTTATTTTAATAATTTTTTTTTGTTTCACTTTACTTTATATTTACACTTTAATATACTTTATACAGAGTGTTTTTTTAATGGGACAATTGGGGAAATCCGAAACCATAGAAGATAGGTACAAGAAAACTGTCTTTTAGTTTTTTTTTAAATCAATTTCGGCATATGTTTCTTTTAGTCAAGCACACGCTTGATTCATAGTCTATAATGATTAATAAAATTGATCAAAATTTTTGTGTTATGTAGGTTATGTTATGAAAGGAACATTTTATTGTATGGAACGAAAAAAATCGGGGCAGCAGAAGTTGATCAAATTCCATAAAATATTTTTCATACAAAATAAATAAAATTGACAATTTTAGTGGTAGTGACAAAGATTATTTTAATGCTAATAGACTCAGTTTCTTAAAAGGATAACTTCATGGTACTCGAAGAAAAATATCGGGACAGCAAAGTTGGTCAAATTTAATAAAAAAAAATTCATTCACAATGAATAACATTTTATTAAATTTGACGAACATCTGCTGTCCCGATTTTCTTCGTCCCATACAATGAAACGATCCCTTCATAACTCTGAATCGACCAGCACTAAAAAAGGTTTTGATCAATTTTATTTGTTTTTATGGACAACTCACGCTTGACCAAAAAAATGCCTATGCTAAAATTGTTTTCCCAAAAAAAGACGACTTTGTGGTTCCTAAGATAGTTTCGATCTCCTATGATTTCGGGTTTCCTCATACTGTCCCGTTTTAAAAAAAAAACTGTATTTTAATAAAATAAATTTCCGACTGCACAATATTGTCCCTTTTCTGTCATAGTGATAGATATAAGAAATCATTTCCTACGAGGATTTGTAATGATGATTTTTCTTATCAGAGTACAAAGATTTTTTTTAATAAACACCTCCTCTGTGTTGTCGATGTAGCGTAGTGTCTGAGTAAAATAATGTCGAAGTAACATATTGTCGGAGTAACGTAATGTCTGAGTAAAATCATTTCGATGTAACATGTTGTCGGAATCGCGTGTGTCGAAGTTCAGTTTTAGAGTCCCAAAATTTTTTACGTTTTCTGTGTGGTACACAAATGTCAACATTTCATTGTCCTGACACAAAAGCAGTATTACAGGGAAATAGAATTTTATCATATTTTTATATTGGAACCACTTATATAATGATAGTCATAATCCAGAAACAAAAACGATGTTGCATTACATACAAAAAAAATACAGGTACAATGCGGTTTTATTGCTAAATAGCAAACTCTTCCAGGCAACCTTCGGGTTACATGAAAAACTATAAGATAATAATTAATTGAGAGCGCAACAGCATACGTATTTAATACGTATATTGCACTTAAATAAAAGAAAAAAAATAGATAAATAAAATACTTGAATAAATTTAAAAAAATAATACACATAATTTCATAAAATTAAAGTACGATTATATAAAACGTAATCATGATAACAACAACACATAAAATAAAAAACAGGTAAGAATAGGAGAAAAAAAATGTTTGAATGCTTCGAATCTTGAAGGGGTTGGAATAAAAGTTGGAAGAGTAGGTAGGACAATTGATAGCATAGTTGAATAGTATTATAGTTTAATGACAGTAGGTACCTATCGCACTACCTGATAAAGTACAAGCTAAAGTATAAAAAAGACGTTGAAAAAACACATTAAATTAAAAGAAATACATTTCTCATAGAGTATAGTAAAAGATGATGGTTGTGAGAGATAAAAAGATCAACAGCTCAGCAAAATGACGGACTATTTCCATGCGCCGCCGACATTTAGCTATAGACTGCCATATTCATAAAAGGACCAACACAAGATTCCGAAGATTAAAATTTTTATCGAATTGATGATATTCAATTATTTTTTATGTGAAATTACAAGTTTGTTATTATTATTAATACAAAGATCGAACACTCAAAAAAACTTCCTTCGTTCCGGCCGAATTCGAACCGACGTCTTCTAGGATACTGTGCCAGACGCTATACCAACTAAGCCACGGAACGATCCTGCGGACCTCACGAATTATTGTATGTGCTTGTTGTCGTGTCTTTGTATTTGGTTTTTCAACGACTTTTTAGCCGTACCGCCATTTATAAAAAACCTATAAAAGTATTTCGTCACCCAGTTAGTCCTAAGATTGCTATTCGTAGCAGATTTGATAAAATTTGAATTGTTGTATAAATATTAGCATTACAGTTAAGGTATTATCCACATATAATTACATTACAACGCCTATTTCCAAGGATTGCCGAGACTATAACCTGGTTATATACTCGATGTAGTGAGCTTACTAGCACCAAAGAGAAAATATATACATATATACACTACTTCTACCCTTTTTGTTATTGGCAAACAAAGCTAAAATTTATATTAATATTTCAATACTATATTATATTTCAACTCGATTGTTAAAAGGCACAGACTACGTTTTATTATTGTATAAAAAATAGATGTGACGCGCGACGGCCTACTCAACCCCTTTGTGCGTTTTATTAAAATTCTGTTTGTGCAAGGGTGCTCCCTAATACCTTTGCGGTTGTGCAATACAACTGAGGGGGACAAATCCCTTGGCTTTTTTAGAAAATATCCAATGTAAAGAAACAATTCTAGACATTTTTAGTAACATAAGGTATATTGCATTGAATGTGGTGGCAGCAGCTAAAACCGTGCAAAGCCAGCTTGTTGGTTTTGGCAAACATGCGGTGGACAACATTAATAATAATTTTCTTTCTTTTTCTTTTCTTTTCTTTTCTTTTCTTTTTGTTTTTACTAACATAGCCACTAAGAAAACTGTAACTAACCAATTATATGGATCACGTTGTCCGAAATAAAGATGTAAATAATACCTGACCGTAGTTTGGAAAA